ATGTACAAATGTGCTTGACACAATGGATGTATGTATGGATTGTGATAAGAGTTGCACAAGCCCCCAGTACAATGATTTAAAAAAAAAAAGAGGAGGATTTGAATGTGTGGCTAATCTCCTCCATGACCTGCTGCCCCTCCTCTGTCAGGAGACCAGGAGAGCTTTCAACATCTCGATCATGGGCGCCTGATGGAAAGGGGGGAACTACAGAACAGAATTTCAAATTCTTATGGATCAAAGATTTTCTGGAGCCACAGCGGCCGATCCTTGTTAAGCCTTTCCCTAGAACATCACTGGAAGTCTTCTTAAAACCAAACAGCATTTTCATGGAGCTTCCTCGTGAAAGAACGTCTGCCTTGTGCGTTCTGCTCTTTTAAGAACGATCTACGTGGGGTCAGATGGACAACAGGGACGCAGCAGCTTAGCTAGGCACCTGAGCGGGCAGTGAGCTTATGTTCCGGGGAGGGATAACTCAGAGAAGGAAGAGAGCACAGCTGGACCGCTTGAAGCAGGTGTGTGTATAGAAGTGGAGGAATGGGTCTGCTTTGCCATGTTTTCCCAACAAGAAGAAAGTATTATTTTTAAGTTCTGAGAATAAACTGTTGGGTTATCTTTTGCTCCCTTAACAGAAACCTAAGAAGCCCTGGTGGTGCAGAGGCTAAAGCCATCCCCTGCTAACTCAAGGGTCTGCGACTTAACCCACGAGCTGCCTCTCAAGCTAACGCCGTGTGGCCCGTCTGCCTCTGTAAGCTTCCCAGCCTCGAACCGAATGTGATGGTGTACAGACAACTCTTTGAAAAAGCGATTGCACGATGGAAATGTCTCAGGTGTGAATGTCGTATCAAGTAAACTACTAAATACAATGTACAGCCTTGGCAACCGGCAGGGCTGTTCTCCCACCCAGCGGGTCGCCCCGAGTCGGACCCGGGCTCAGCGCAGGGCAGCTGGAACCGGAAATCTAAGCCTTTGGTCAGGTCTTCAAAGATGGGGTGGTTCGGGATTCAGCGTTTTAAAAGAGACACGTCGGCACTGGGATGACTTCAGAAAAGAAGCCCAGGGGTGGATAGATAGGAAGAGCAGAAATCTGGAAGGAAAAGCTAGAGACTGTGAGAGGTCTTAGGCTCCAAGATGGAAGGCCAACTGGCGGCTTCAGATGGTTTTCAAGCGAGTTGAGACGCCCGGTGCCAGGTGCGGAGGTGGTCAACAGGACCAGGAGGCAGACTGCAGAGTAACAGTGGGGTCTTTATTCCAGCGAGAGGCAGAGAGAGGTGCCAGCTCCCCAGGCTCTATCTTCCCCCACCGATGGGCACTGGGAAAGCGAGGGCCAGAGGGCATGTAGCCCTGTCTGGGTCCCTGAACCAAAGCACCTATCTCTTTAGAGACCCCCTGGAGCAGGAGAGGGTTGGAGAGAAGGAGTATGGTGCCCAAGTGTGTCTGCCGAGGCCCCAGGCGCAGGGAGGGCTGTGTGGGGAGGGGTGGAGCAGAGGGAGTGGGCTGTCGTCCTTATTCACAATCCCGCGGTCTGGGTACCCAGTTTGGGCTGAGGTCTGAGGTCGGCCAGGCAAAACCCTTCCTGGGTGAGGCTGTCTTTATGTAAGCTCGATCACACAGGGTTGGGGCCTGTGTCAGTGAACCTGCATCAGAGGCTCACGTCCCCCACCCCACTCCAAGCCCTGGCTCAGGCTTCCCCTTGTCACCTGGACCAGTGTCCATCCCGGACCCATTCGCTGAACCACCCAACGCCCTGTCCCTCTCTCAGCTTGGTGGGCTAGAGGCTCTTCCCCAGCGCATCCCCCTCACACCACTACCTTCCGAGCTGGCAGGACTGCCCAATTGCCCACCTCCTCCCCCAGGGTCTCTCTGCTCCTACGGCCTGGAGCATCTTCCGGGCCCTGTCCAGCTGCCCTCCCAGTTGCATTCAAAGGCACCTCCTCCGTGAGACTCCCCAGGCTTGGTGGGGCCACTGCCCTTGACACACTGCGCCATCATTGCCTGCCAGTCTTGTCCCGTCCTGCAGGGACCCCATCTTAGAACCCCACCCCACAGGAGTTTGTAGCCAGAGAGAAGTTGCAAATGAGCACATGAATGAAGAAGCAGAATGATGTCTCCACGTTGTGGTTCCTTCGCTTGCCCTGGCACATGCATCCTTCCTCCAGCCACCACGCCCCACCCTCCACTGTCCCCTGACAGCGAAATCCTCACGAATGTCCTGGGTCTGGCCGTGGGGTGGGGGTTCCCAGGATCGGTGCTCAAGCTCCAACTCTCCCTGGGGATCCAGGAGGCCCGGTTCCCTCCTGAGAGCCCACTGTCCCCTATTGCGTTTCCTGCCTTGACCGCTATCACCCTTCTCCCGTGAAAGGCATGCCGGCCGCTCTCAAAGTATGAAAACCAGCCAGCCAGCTTTATTTCCTGAAGCAGAACTGTCTTTAACGTCGAGGAACAGGTCTACGGGCATGTCAGTAATTCTGCCTTCCCGGTCCCAACCTCCCTCCACCAACTCCCTGAGGCTCTGTCTGGAACGTTCCAGCGGGGTCTAGAAAGGACGAAACCCAGACTCGCTCCCCCATCTTCCCCGCCTTTACGCGTCCCCCAGTGGACCCTTTTCCTAAGGGCTGCATTTCCACGGGAAAGAGCTGGGGCGGGAGCGGAGTTTCCATGGGAAACAGGAGAGGTGGCCCGCGGCGCTCACAGGCCGCAGAGCCGCTCCACCTCCTCCTCGCAGGCGTAGAACTTCTGGAAGATTCCCACGGGCGCGCCGTGGGCCTCGAGCCAGCGCCGGAGCGTGCCCAGGGCGCGGAGGGCGTCGGTCTTGGTGGGCAGGGACCCGACTCCGTCCTCCAGGCGCCCCTCCCCGTCCTCAGAGCCCGTCTCCTGTTTGCAAGGGCCAGGGCTGGGCTCCTCCTCGCCCTCCAGGTCCACGAAGCGGGAAAACTCCTCCAGGCTCAGCCCGCGGGGCGCCGGCGGCAGCGCAGCGTTTCGGTCCCGGGACGTGGGCATTTTGCCCGGCGCCAGCCCTTCCTGGATGAAGCTGCTGAGAATGAGCTGAGGCGACACCTTGGCCCAGGCCGCCGCCGCTAGGTGCAGCGCGTCCAGCACGGTGATGCCCAGCCCGGCCTCTGCCAGGGAGATCGTGCTGCCCCTCTGGCTCTGCACCGCAGTCAGCTTGCCCAACAGGCGACGCCGGTAATGGGCTTTAAATGCCCGCACCACGGAGCTGGGCAGGGAAGGCGGCGTGCTGGTGGCGGCCAGGCGCAAGAGGCGCACGTGGCACAGCCCAGGCAGGCTGGCCCACTCCTCCACCGCCCCCGAGGCCAGCAGCAGGGCCACCCGGCGGCCCTGCCGCCCCATGTCCCGGTCAAACTGTGCCAACCACTCGACCCAGGGGATGCCCAGCTCAGGGTGGTAGGAGGCTGGCAGGGCCTCGCTGCTGACCCCGAAGAAGCACCTCGGGGTGGCCTGGCGCCCTCCCACCAGCAGCCGCCGCTTCTCCGTGCCCCGGCTGTTAGCACACAGCAGCACGCGAACCTGGTCGCAGGCACCCCCTCGGCCGGGCACCGCGCGGTAGAACAAGGGCACGTCGGCACAGCCGAAAACGTCCTCTGGGGCGAAGTCTTTCAGGGAAAGGGGCGGCGGGGGCGGGGGCGGCTCCGGGGCGAGCGGAGACGAGGGGGCGTGGCGCGCCCCGAGGCCCACGTTGTTGCGGCGTTTCCAGCGGACCAGCCAGCCGATGCTGGGCACGAAGTCCTGGCCCATGAGGTCGGCCAGCTCCTTGGCTTTGTGGAGCAGCATGGGCCCCGTCACGTCCCAGGCCCTGGCGCGGGCGATGTGGTACCAGCAGAGCAGGGCCTCGTCGATGTCGCTGTACTTGGACTCCCTCTTGCGCTTGCGCTCGCGGTTGGCCGTGCCGCTGCACCAGTCGGCCAGCAGCTTCTCCTTATTCTTGCAGATGCGCGAGATCTGGGGCTGGGACACCTGGAAGCGCCGCGCCACTTCCGACTGGGACATCTTGGACTCGTCCAGGAGTTCCAGCACCTGGATCTTCTCGGCCAGGGACAGGGCGTGCAGCTTCTTCTTGCTCAGCTCCATGGCTTCTCCGCGGCCCCTGGGGAGCAGGGAGGGGGCGGTCAGGGGGTCCCAGAGGCCAGGATCGGGTGGGGAGGATGGATATCGGGAAGGGCTGGGCGGGCTAGTGCGGAGTGGGCTGATGGGCTGGGCATGACCTCCCACCCGTCCCCCCATCCCCCAGCGATGCCTGGCCAGAGGGTGGGGGCCGCCTGGCCAGAGGGTGGGGGCCGGCGCTGGAAGTGGGGAAGAGCGCTGAATAGGGCCGAGGGACAGCAGCAGATACAACAAAGGAGGTGGCGGCGGTGGAGGGACCTAGGCTGGTTGAGTGGGCAGGTGTAGGGGGACAGCAAGGCGGGGGAGGGGCGGTGCTGGCCCGGCCTGGATTTGGATGAAGATGGGTGGGCGCGCGCACGTGGGAGCAGAGTTGAGGTGACAGGTGCTCAGATGACAAAGGGGGCCAGCCGGTCCGGAGGACAGGAGTGAGTGCAATGTGGCGCTGGGTCTGGAGGTCCGGCTGGGCGAGGTCCAGTCTTGAGGGGGCGTGGAGCCCACGAGGAGAGGGCAGGTGCACAGGCGACAAAGAGCGGG